TACATCATCTAGGACTCTTATCCTTCATTTATATATCTTGGATTCTCATGTGATCACACCATATCTCGGCAACTTGTTCCACTCATGTGGCACATCGGCTAACAACCGTGGCCACGTGGATGGCTATAAAAATATGTCTCCACAACTTACATTGTTGCTTTATCAGGAATGTTGTATGAAATATTAAGGTGGTGGTGGTTGGTTGATTAAATTGATTTTAAGTCGGAATGAGATGATTGTTTCATGGCTTCTTAATGAAATAATTATTCTCTTAAATCAATGAATGTAACGCTCCGAAATAATAACCATAATTCAACCCCACGGTATTAATTAAATAACCACCCAGTTTTGAATATGACATCTTTACATTCATATGATTCAATTTTACAAAAGATGACACATGCAACTATATATTCATAAGTCTTAATCCTGAATTTATAACATGTGTCATAGACAAAGCATATGAAATAAAAGTCAAAACAGATAGATTAACACTCTGATGGCTACAGCTTTCTAAAACAGTATTTGGTTACAACAAAAGTGAGTTAAACTCAATACATACAAAGCCCTACGCTTGTATAAAATAAATACAACAATAACAAAAAAGCCTATTGGGCTCCAAGTCTTTTCAAGCTATTGCCTTGGTGGAGGCATTCATCAACACTTAAAATTGGTTTTCCATATAAGATGATCCAAAACCCAGTAGAGATACTCTAACACAGTATGTGAATCTTATCAAAGTCAGAAGGTGAATGCATATACGATACTCGTGTCAAAACGTTTTACATCTCTTTCCAAAATCATGCAATGCCAGATTATATCACAATTTATGAAATCATTTTTTTTACAATAGAAAATAGGTTAGTAAATACGACTTTAGGAATCTCTAGGTACTTGTCTGTAACTAATTGCCATTTTTACCGGTGCTAACTGGAAGGCTCGGTACCTAACTACGCGGATTTCTGAACTTTCACCAAGGACACACAGGCCAACATGATACAATAACCACACCCCCGACCCAGATTCACCAATGTATAACGATATACATTTTCAATGTGTTAAATATGCAACAATGCTTAATATAAATGGATGAAAAATTAGTTTCAATTCTTTTAATTCTCATGCAATTTCAATTTTCATTTCCTCTTTACAAAATCAAACATTCACATTTTAGGACAAAACTCATTTTCTCTATAAATCAATTCCAATGATAAAAATTCACTATTTTACCACAACTCATCCACATTTAGAATTTCACAACCATTTTCAAAAATCCATTTGAAAACTCCTCTTTTGATTTCAAAACCAAAATCTTAGATTTTATCCAAAAATTTCCAAATCACAATATTGTTTAGAAACACAAATAACTATATTAAAAATCATATAAAAGTGCGAAGAAACCCCTATATCAAAGCTAGAAAACAAGAGGGAGAGAGAGAGAGAGAGAGAGAGAGAGAGAGAGAGAGAGAGAGAGAACTTTGACGAAATTGAAAATCAACTTTGCTCCGATCAAAAGGAAGCTCTAGGCAAGCTCTACCATTTTTCCCAAAGGAAAATGGTTGAGAAATCACTAAATCAAGGTATATTTGAGATCTGATCAAAAAAAGAAGAAGGTATATTTGAGATTCAAAGATGGTTTCTAGAGAGAGAGATAAGATCTAAGATTTTGGAGTGTATAAAGAGAGAAATGTGAAAAAGTGATCCAAAAAGTACTTCCTCGAACTGATATACGCACAGATCGCTCGAGCGACCAGACACAACGAAGACACCGCTCAAGCACAAGAATGGTCGCTTGAGCGCACAATGCATTCCTCCCAGTAGTTCAGACCTGCAAAAGTTCACTCGAGCACAAGAATGATCGCTCGAGCGAAGAACTGAAACTCTCAGTAGTTTTGCAAACTGCAAAAGACCGCTTGAGTGCAAGCATGGTCGCTTGAGCGAGCAGGCAAATTTCTGGGCAATAACACTTTGAAAAACTAATTTTCAAACCTGTTTCAAACTCAATCAAAATTCGCAATGGCCAAAACCAACAAACAATAAGACAAAAAAGAGTTGAACAACCAAATAAGATAAGAAAATTCCGGAACTAAAATAATAAATGATCCGGGTCTAAACAAAAATTATTATAATAAACGATTTTACTTCTAAAATAATTTCTTTTATCCGAGTAAACATATGAGATTGTATTATGATAGAATGACTATTGCTTTTCAGCGAATCAAATATTACATAACATATATACATTATAATCCAAAGAGATACAAATTATGTTAAAGTTAGGTGTGAAATCATTAACTCACTCAGAAATGTGGTTTTGATTTTGTGGAATGTCATTTAACCAAATTACTTATAGAATAACAATTAGAAAAAAAAAAAAAAAACCCTCAGATTTTTTTTTTTGTGATTTTTTTTTTTTTTTTTTTTCTTAAAAAACAAAAAAAATTTATTGGACAAATTGCTTTGAAAACTATTTCTAATGAAAATAACTCTTTTTAAGAAACATTAAAAATTTGTTTTTGATTTTTTTTGATTTTATAAATTTCTTTCTCAAAAAAATTAAGGGAAAATCGGTCTAGGGTCCCTCTCTCACTTTTCATAATGGAAGAGGTCCACAAAATTATTTTTTGATGTCTAAGGTCCTAAACATATATCAGACAAATTTCAGTCAAACCCACCGTCATTCTTACCCACAACCAGAGAAACCCAGAGCTTTCTAGAGAGAGAAAATGAAGATGATCGGAACAACACTCCTTTCTCTTCTGAAACCATACGCCGTCGCCGTGAATACAAGAAGTTGCGAATCTTGATGAATCGCAGCATGGTGAGAAGTCTTCCACAATTAGAGCTTCGAGAAAAGACAAACTGTCCAGGATGCACTATCTATAAGTGGACCAGGGCTCAAACCGACGAAGATGGAGTCGAAGGAGGTGCGAACCAGAAGCTCCAGCCACCGTTGAACCGGAAGCTCCAGCTGTTGAGCCTGTGAAAGTAGAGTCCGTGGAGATGAACCAGAAGCTATAGCCATTTCGCTCCCCCTATGGTGACCCTGTTTCAGCAGCACCACCCCTTTCCTCCTTTCTTTCTTTCACTCTTTTTCTTCTTCTAGATCTAAAAGAAACCACACCCAGTTTTGCTATTAGAGAAAAAGTAATCAAATTAATCATCTTGAATCCATACAAGCAATATTGCTTTTCAATTCTAGCCACCACCAGCAAATTCCAATAGAAGTTATTTCGTCCTTTTACAATTAATGAACCTAATGGAATAATAAAAAATTATTTGAGTTTTATGGAATAAAACAGTTAGAAATATGATTTATGAAAAAAGAGCCCTAAAAAGAAAAGTGCATGAGACTAATCAGATTATAATAATTATTTGTGGACCTAATGGTTACAACAACTCTAAAATGGATTTATCAATAAAAATCTATTTTTTATATGAATGATTTTCTCAAATTTTTTTTTACAAAATGACGTGCTCAAATCCTCGAGATGAGCCGAAATGTGCCAACAGTAGGCCAAACTAAGCAATTCAATTGGCCAAGCCAACTGAAGATAATCCAGACCTTAATTAAAAAATGTACAGCTAGCCATTTGCCTAGAGCAAAGCCTATTAATTTGCCATATTCACCAAATCGTTTTGCTGTCATTGGTTAACAAAGAACTTCCATCACAAAGTAATGTAAAGATATTTAAAGGATGGCATATGCCATGAAGGTTTCATATTTAATTTAGAAACATATTAAACACTATTACAATATCTAAGAGAGACAAAGAGAAAGAGAAAAATCTTTATTATGTTGAATCAATTAATAATATATACAACATTTCTTTATATAAGAGGAAAGAAATTTAAGTATGATAATAAATACAATATAATATGTATGATAGACAGAATATATAGTTACTATATTTAACAAATACAACCATTAGAGTTTGTGTTAGTGTTAGAAAATATGTATAGATTGTCTTAAAATGTGTAAACAACAAATAAAAGTACAGAAAAATATTTTAAAATATATAAAATGTGTATTGGGGTTATAAATAAAATTATTCTAATTAAAATGTTTTTTTTTTTCATGTGGTAGTTGGCTCTTTATTTAAAAGTATAGTTCAACTTTTATTTTATTTTATTTTTTAAAGATTTGACTATATTTAAATTTTAAAGTTGTATAGAAAAAAAAAAAACAAGGTATGGAAAGAAAAATTGAGTAGAAGCTCTATTTTTTTCCTCAGAATTTTTTTATTTTTTTAATTTTTTTACAAATTTAATATCCCAACACAACATATAGGGGTTTTTTTTTTAAGGTCCCTGGTATTATGATTTTTTAGCAAAAAGGACATCAAATATTTTTATAATGTCTAAGGTCCCTCAACAATATTTTCATAATGTCTAAGGTCCCTCAACCTTGATCCAGAGAAATTTCAGTCCAGAGAAATTTCAGTCCAGAGAAAATTGGTGCAGAGAAATTTCAGTCCAGAGAAAATTGGTGCAGAGAAATTTCAGTCCAGAGAAAATTGGTCCAGAGAAATTTGGTCCAGAGAAATTTCTCTGGGCCAGAATTTCTCTGACCAATTTTCTCTGCACTGAAATTTCTCTGGACCAAATTTCTCTGGACCAATTTTCTCTGGACTGAAATTTCTCTGGATCAAGGTTGAGGGACCTTAGACATTATGAAAATATTGTTGAGGGACCTTAGACATTATAAAAATATTTGATGTCCTTTATGCTATAAAATCATAATACCAGGGACCTTAAAAAAAAACCCCAAAAATTAATAGGATAAAAAAACGATGAGTACTTTTAAAATTTTCATTGCTCTTATTATTGAGAACACGAAAAAAACAATAAAGAATATATAAACTCTCACATGGCTTACATGTCATTTCTATCATATTATTTTAGATATTTTTTTTATTTATATATCAATGCTCTTTTGTTATATGTAACAAATCACCTAATGCCTAATCGATTTAAGGTAGTTTGACAAATACAGAGAGAGAGAGAGAGAGAGAGAGAGAGAGAGAAAGAGATGGCTGAGGTTGGAATCCCATATCTTAATTTTTCTGATGGGGCTTTAGATTTAGAGAAAGACAGTGAAGCATGGAGGGTTTTGAGTGACAAAGTTAGAGAGGCATGTGAAAGCCATGGTTGTTTCTTGGTGAGGTACAGTGATATCCCAATGAAACTACTTGAAAACATGTTCATGGGCATGGAATCACTGTTTGATCTTCCTCAAGAGATTAAAGACAAGTATAAGGACCCTAACCAGTATGACAAGTACATGAGCTCCTCCTTCAACCCTCTCCATGAGAGCTTTCGCATCGATTGCGCTTCACGGCTTGAAGAAGCTCGAGTCTTTACAAATATCATGTGGCCCCATGAAAACCCTAGCTTCTGGTGAGTTTTGAAGGTTTTTTTTTTTTTTCCTAAAATAAAATACTAGAAACATTAATCTGTTTGGTTTAGTTTTAGAATCATGATTTGATCGTGGAATTGTGATTTAAATATGGAGTTGTGAGTTGAGTATTGAAAAAAGAAAATTTATTTAATTATGAGTTTTGAAAAGAATTTTGATTTTGTGAACTTTGAATTTTAAAAAGAGTTTTAAGTATTGAAAAGAGTTTTGATCTGTATTTTCAGTTTTGAATTTTTTAATTGAGTTGTATTTTGAAATTTTTTGAATTTATTTTTTTAATATTTAAAATTGTTTAAGAATTTTTTTTTATTTTATATATTTTTTAATTATGTTATTTTAATCAATTTTCAGACAATCGGCCGGGCGATCGGTATTTTCGGACGATCAGCTAAACGACCGCCCAGTCGTTCGGCCGATCATATGAACATATCAATTTCTGTGCTAAAATGGCAAACATAATAGCTGAACCATTGGAGTACCATTATTGTTTTTCATCAATTTTCTACTATTCATTACCATAATTTGGCAATAGCAATATACCAAAAATACTCTTAGTGTGAATTCCAATTTTTTATTTATTGAAAGTATCATGTAGACTGCGCCTTGTAATACTCCCAAGGTGACTATTTAATAATTTTTCTATTTTGCTTTTGTTTATTAAGCTTTTCAAAGTTACTAAACAAAACAAAACAAAACAATTTTTTATTGCAATTTATAATGAAAAACTGATTATTGAATTTTAAATTTGAATAGTGAGGTTCTCAACTCAACAAGCTCAAAGATGCTAGACCTGAGCTGGATCATTATGAAAATGATTTTGGAGAGCTTCTGCATTGGGAGATACTATCAATTCATGGTGGAGAACAGTTCAAACTCTTTTCGTATACTGAAACACAAAGTTCCTCCAAGCAATGACTCCGCAGGCATGAGTCTTATCCCTCACACTGATAGAATTTTCTTGACCATCTGGTCTGAAAATGAAGTGCAAGGTGTTGAGGTTCTTTCTAAAGAAGGTAATGAGTGGATTCAAGTGAAAATTCCAACCGGATCCTTTATGGTCTTCGTGGGTGATTCGTTTAAGGTACAAGTACCAATACTCGTTTTATGAACACAAGTATCTTTTTAAAAAAAACATGCGTAAAAAATGAATTATATGTTAGATATTCAAATTAAGTGTCTCATTTTTTAATATAGTTTTAGATGGCTAACATTTATGTTTTATGAATGCATTTTGTTTATCTACTTCTCTTTCTGTTTTTTTTTAAATGCCTTTTGACGTGGGTAAGCCCATAAAGGCCATAGCCCACTATAAATGACCCAAGCCCATCACTTGGAGCCCAATACATAACCCAGCTGGTGAAGTCCAGAACAGCTGGAATCCAACGTGGCATAAAGAGTCAATGACATTCAGACATACGGCAGGTAAAGGACAAGCCGCATCAGCAGACAAAGATCTGCAAAGTTATTGCCACTACACATCACCATTAATGCAGCCCATCACAGCATTTATTACGACAACACCTCTCCGTCGGAACAGGACCCCCTTACCCTGAACAAGGTAAGCTACAGCGTAGACTTTCGGCCAAGATAGCAGGTCGGAAAGGACAGCGAAATGATGACCAAAGGATATAAGCAAACGTTGAAGACAAGAAGAAGGTTAAGTTTTCTATCTCCAATTAATATCTCTACATTACACTTCTCTCTCTCTAATTTGCTTGTCGGAGGGTTCGCTGGGGGACTCCTCGTTTCCCTGTTGAACTTGTGTGCAGGTTCTCTGGTGGGCTTGAACACCTAGTTACCGGTTGAAGAAGCGTGGATTAGTCCGACCTATTCCATCTGGGACCCGTTGTGTAGTAACTGTATCATCACCTTTAAAATTGTCTCTATTAAAATTTATTTACGATTTTCCCTTTCACTACTAACTTTTATTTTATTTTCACTAATTGTTATTTCCCATTCAATTTTTATCTCTCTTTTCATCTTAGTGCTATTTCACATATCCATTTATATGTACATTTATCTTAAGAATTTAAATTATGATTTGATGAGTTTCAAATTTTATACTTTATAGTTGTGAAAATTCATCATTTCTCTTCACATTTGTGCACTTCGATTTTCTTTTAATGAAATGGAATTCTGATGAAATTAAATTTGGTGGTGGGTAGGCATAGAGCAATGGAAGACTTCATGCAGCAAAACACAAAGTAATAATGAAAGGGAACAAAGTTAGGTATTCATGTGCTTTGTTCTTACTACCGACAAAAGGTGCAACCATTGAAGTGCCTCAAGAGCTCGTTGACAAAGACCATCCTCTTCGCTATCGCTCATTCACTTACTCTGATTTCGTCTCTTTTTTCTACACCAACGTTGGCGATCAAACAATCGAGAGTTTTGCTGGCCTTTGATCACTCTTTGATCATTTGGCTTTGCAGTGAGAGGTTGTGGTGTTGCTAGATTTTAAATAATGATGTTAGTATTAGTGTCAGTTCTATATTGAACAATATCACTTATCTATATAATAAAGCATGACGGATTTTGAAAATATGTAAAATGTATCAGAGATACATTTCATTTTAAGGGCTCAGATCAATTGTGATACACATCAATGGTTGAGATTTTCCTTCAATTCCCGCCCAAACACTCGGTGCTCTCTCCTACCTACCCACGTCTCCTTCCCCATTCCATCTTTATCTCTTCTCTGTTGCACATCTCCTCCCATTCCCTCCTTATCTCTATCTCCCTCTTTGTTCCGCTTATTTATCTTTCGCAGAGACGCTACCTCTCTCTTTCTCTCTCACCCGATCTCTGTCTCTCCCCCCACCCTTCCACTCGCTGCCTCTCCCCTCTCCCCCCACCCGATCTCTACCTCTCCCTCCACCCTCCCACTCGCTGCCTCTCCCCCTCTCCCCCCTTTCGCAACCCTCCTAGGGTTTTCGATTAAGAACCGCGATACCTTTCTGAACCCCAATTGGAGCTCTCCGGTAGAGCTATTTCAGAGCTACACCAAACCTGAGGCTTCTATTTGTGCAAGGTAATATTTCTGTCTCTATTCCCCTATTTCAATTGATCTACTGTTAATTTCCGAGTTTTGAGTTTTGAGGTACGGAGATACATTTTCTCAAGACTGTATGTTATGTTTGGCCTTAATTTATGTTTTTAGGGGCTTGGAGCAGAGTAAGGAGGCGAATTCGTCTTTCTTTCTCTATTTCTAAGATCACCTTGAAATCGTCTAAAGGGCACCACAGTGAAATATTGAAATGTTAGATCTCTTTCCATGATGTTCTTTGTAGCTGTCTGTTCAAACCCCAAAACAGAAGATTAATCCCGACTTCTTTTTTTTCTGAATATTATGACAACCAAAACTATTCCTTTAACATAAGCAGAGTGATTAATCTTCAGAATTATTTTGGGATTAATTTTCTGAATGTTTATATAAACAAACCACAAAGAGATAGGTTATGTTATGTTATGATAAATAGAGTGATAAACAGGATTAATCTTCAGAATTATGTAAAAATATTTTGTTATCTTAAAGGAATACTTCTTAGTTGAATGTTTTGGTGGTCATAGGTTATGTTAAAGGAATAGTTTTGGTGGATATAGCAACCATGGTTTAAAGGGATATTATGAAAATATTCAAAGTTTGATTTTTTTATTTTGTATTCAAACAATCTGCCTTATTTTTACAATCTGCTTTATTTTTGTATTCAAACAATATGCTCTATTTTTATTTTGTATATGGAAAGTATTTTTTCTGAGTTCTGAGGTACGGAGATAAATAAGGATTATAAGATTTACGTGGTGTGAATGCAACTGATTTTTGTGTTTGGAAAAAACTCTGGGAATCTTGAATTCCATCTAAATGGGCACTATTCGTGTGGAAGTGTCTTCATAATAAAGTATCTGTGAGATGATAGTTAAAGATAAGAGATATTCCCAATCCAGTGTGATCGATGTGCGAATGCGGCCGAAACCATTGAACATCTCTTTTTTCAATGTCATGTATCTCAAAGAATTTGGAGAGGTACTTCTAGGGGCTTGGACTTTACCTGTGGCCACCCAGTTTGCTTTAAACATGGTGGATCAATTGGGTTACAATGATTTAAGAAGAGGACATGATTGTTCAATCTATTGCCGTGCTATGGGCAATTTGGAGGCAGCGAAATAGTGTGGTCTTCCATAATGAAAAGATGACAATAGAGCAGGACTATTTCAATGGCTAATGAGATTCATCAACGTTGGACTAACTGTGCATTCATGTTTTCCAATGATAATATCTTAGAATGTCTTACTGATATCTTTGGAAAAAGATGGAAATACAGAGAATTGTGGTCTTCTTGCTAATAACCTATCTTTAAATTCTGTTTTCCAGTTATATACATGTGTGGTAGATGGAGCATGGAAGTGCAAAAATGGAGAGGCAGAAATAGCATGGGTCTATTTCAATGAAAATCAAGACATTGTCTATCAACAAGCTGATCGGCTCAAGCTTTCTTTTTCATTACTTGCCAAGGCAAGGGCCTATAAGCGTACGACAATACCTACCCAATCCATTAGAAAAAAACTCCACAATTCAAAAACGTCATATTAAAACCAGTACTGGCTCTAGGCTACAGTCATTGAGGCCTGTGCCTTAGGCCCCAATGATTTATTTACAAACTGATTTATTTCTTCATGTCAAGCTTCTTTATTTTTTATTTTCATCATTTGACTGGTCTGAATCTTTTTATATGAACTGGTTCGGGTGCTTTTTTAGGAGAGATGTGTACACTGGGTTGGGTTGGTTTCGTCTTCTTCTTTCTTCTTTTTTATTTTCATGGGTATTTGGGAGTGAAGAAGTGGACGAAGTAGAGGGGTCTCTCTTCCTCTTTTTTGGTATTTTTAGTTCTTTGTGGGTCATTTAATTTGGGGTTTATTTTTATTTCCTCTTTTTTTTAGAATGCTTTATTAATTTGGGTTGTCATTCTCTCTCTCAATCTGAGTTTATTTCCTGTTCTTGAACTGGTTTATTTAAGTATATGAACACCATTGACTGTCAATACTCCAATCACTATACAGTTTATCACTGTACAATTTATTTCTTTGTCATGTGAACCAACTGTTTGACAAAATGATTATGAGAGAGAAAAAAATATTGATACCCACATTTCTGCCCTTTTTAAATTAGTTGTTGCTTTTGAAAAGGTTTGCACATTGCATTGTTCTTCAAAACCTGCTCTATTTATTGCTTTAACATGTGAACCAACTGTTTGACAAATTGATTATGTGAGAAAAAACAAATACTGATACCCACATTTCTACACTTTTTTTAATTAGTTGCTACTTTTGAAAAGGTTTGCAAAAGATGGTTATTGGGTTATACAGAATTTGTCATTGCATTGTTCTTCAAAACCTACTCAATTGCATCTAAGGTCCAACCTTGAGCTTTTGATAGTTTTATACAGAATTTGTCATTGCATTGTTCTTCAAAACCTACTCAATTGCATCTAATTGCATCTAAGGTCCAACCTTGAGCTTTTGATAGTTTACTGAGCATCAATCCTAAGGTGGATTATTCTTGACTGTTATGCCTACTTGACAAGTCAGAATACTTTCCATCAAGGCTTAAATTGGATTCTGCACTTCATTTTTTTTGTTCATGATTCGTGTGTCCTTTGATATCTCATTGTTGATTGCTTATGCAGATAAAGGTGGTGATAAGTAATATTTGAATCTGTTTTTGAATCTTTATAAAATATTACTTATCCTAAAGCATCTTTATAATGAGCATCAATCCATAAGAAGTAATATTACTGAATGTAGTATCTCTATAATGAGCAGATGTTTTTGATAAAAATTCAAAATTACTGCACTCCATTTTTAAAAATTATTGAGCAGATGTTTTATAAAAATTCAAAATGTTCAAAATTACTGCACTCCATTTTTATAAAAAATTAAAAAATTTTGATGATCTTTTTATAGATGTTTTTGAACAAAATTACTCCATTTTATAAGAATTAAAAAACATCTGTTTATAAAAATTACAGAGATATAAAAACATGCTTAAAGAAGTAAAAATGGAGTGCAAAATCCATTTTTAAG